TGATCGAGATGTTCGTCGTCGCGTCGGACCGTCTGCACAGCTTGACCTCCGCCGAGCTGGAATACGTACCGAAGGTTATTCTGCTGCGAGAGTGCGAGCAGTACATAGATCTTCTGTGGGACAGACTGCCCGAGCACATACGAGCCGATTCGGAGATTCAACGGTACCGCCGGTGCCTGAAGCACTACAACCTGCCGAGTCAGCAGACGCACGTCGACGGACCAGCGCCGTTGATAAGGAATTGCGGCGAATGTCAGCGAAGAACCTGTTGAATCGGGCGATAAACGCACTTCCTTTCGAATTACATATCCCCGGCTACCAGTTTTGCGGCCCCAGCACTCGACTGGGGAAACGATTGGCCAGAGGCGACGCGGGAATGAATCCGCTGGACGCGGCGTGCCGCGAGCACGACATCGCGTACTCTCGGAGCAACGATCTCGCCGACAGGCACGCGGTGGACGAGGTGCTCGCCGCGGAGGCGCGAAAACGCGTCACCGCGAGAGACTCGGCTCTGGGCGAGAGAGCCGCCGCTGCGGCTGTCTGGGCAGCGATGAAAGTCAAGACCAAGATCGGCATGGGTATGAAGAAGAGGAAGGGGGAAAAACAACCCACCGCGAAAAAACCTGCAACGAAAAAACGGGTTCTTCCGACCGCGAAACGAGGCGGCGTGTTGCCGATTCTGCCAATGTTGGGCGCCCTCGGGTCCCTGATCGGTGGAGCGGCCGGCGTGGCGAAAGCGGTAAACGACAGCAAAGCCGCTCGACGTCAGCTCGAGGAGCTGCAACGTCACGATCGCGCGATGGAACAGGGTCGCGGGCTGTATCTCGCTCCGTACAGACGCGGGCTGTATCTCATCCCGTACAAACGCGGACACGGACAGAAAGGAAAAAAAAAAACGTCGAAGAAACGATAAGAATGCCCACGGGCGCAACCACCAACGTGCAACTGGACCGGCTCGCGCAGCGTATGCACGTACCGTACTTTAGAGGGGTCTTCATGAGTAACGCGTTACCGACGAGCGGTGCGCGGCGAAACGAGAGCGGTATCGTGAATCTGGACGACGCCACGGGCCCCGGTACTCACTGGGTGGCGTACGCGAAGAGGAACAACCGCGTCGTGTACTTTAACAGTTTCGGTAATCTCCGACCGCCCGAGGAACTCGTGCGATACTTCGACGTTCCTACCGCGATAGAATACAATCGAACGTCTTATCAGACGTACGATCAGACCTTTTGCGGACAGATGTGCCTGCGGTTTCTACGAACCGTCGAATTTTAAAAAGCCCTACGAGACGTCGCGCGATCTCAGTACTCGTCGAACCGTCATGTCTCTGACACTCACGCTGAGCGGGAGGAGCAGCGTCCTCGCGGCCTGCTACTTTCCCGCGATAAACCTGAGCGACGGCGACTACGAGCTCGGTCTGACGATGTTCGAGACCTATAACACGATACCGAACGTGAACGATTCCAACGACAAATTTTACTTTGGAAACGACGACGAGGAGATTACGATCCCCAAGGGTTCGTACGAACTGCGAGCCATAAACGACTTTCTGAAACGCGCGATCTCGCGGAAACGTCCGCTGCCCGATGGCGCGGTGCGCGGAGACGACGACGACGCGGAGTACCCGATAACGCTCCGCGCAAACTACAACACGATGAGATGCGAGATCGCGTGCGCCTACCGAATAAACTTTGACAAACCCAATAGCATCGGGTCGCTGCTGGGATTCTCGAAGCGCGTACTGGAACCGCGAAAATGGCACCAGTCGGACGCATCGATCAACATCATGACCGTGAACATCGTCCGCGTGGAGTGCAACTTGACTGCGGGCGCGTACAGCAACGGCAACAGCGTGCACACGATACACGAATTTTCACCGCAAGTTCCACCGGGAGATAAGGTGTCGGAAAGGCCGACGCAGATCATTTACCTTCCGATCGTCGCACGGAGCGTTACCGATCTAACGATACGCGTCGTCGATCAGAACGGACGGCCGATCGATTTTCGCGGGGAGGAGATCACCGTTAGATTGCACGTGAGACAGCGACAGCGATAGGGCGCGCGCGCGTGAGATGCTCGTGTTGAACCAACGGATAGATAACGTATCCTTCGCGCAGCTCGACAGTGCTCGCTCCGGACGCGTCGAAAAGAAGAGGAAGAGACTCAGTGCTTCGAACGTGGAGTTTTTAAAATCTCTGAGATTCGCGGTGCGCAGAGAACGATGACCGACATTCTGAACGTCAAGGACGAGCCGGTTTTCGACGATCGCATCGTCAAGATCGAGACTCACACGTACAATCCATACGTGAACACGACGTTCGGACATAGCGACGAGATACGAATACCCATACAGCAGCAGGATCTGTACGCGTTACCCTGCGAAAGCTCGCTCTACGTCGAGGGAAGACTCACGTCGAAAGAGGAAAACGCGGACCCAAAGCCGCAGCTTGGGGTCAATTGCATGGCGTTCATGTTTGAGGAAATTCGCTACGAACTCAATGGCACTGAGATCGATCGTGGCAGAAACGTCGGAATGACTAGCCTCTTGAGGGCTACGCAACGTTTTCTAGTGACTACGCGTATCATATGGAGAATGCAGGATTTCCGCATCCGGTTTTTGACAACGATGTAAAAAGACTAGTATCGAGCGATGGATACTTTAGTTTTTACGTGCCGTTGAACATGCTGTTTGGCTTTTGCGAGGATTACAAACGCGTGGTGATCAACGCGCGTCACGAACTGATTCTGATACGAGCGCGCAATGACACCAATTCCGTCAAGGGAGATCCAGCGGCCGAGCCGAAACTCGAACTGTTCAAGATAAAATGGCGACTGCCCCACGTCACGTTGAACGAAGTCAATAAACTGTCCATGTTGCGTATCCTGGAGAACGGACGATATCTCAGTATGAGTTTCCATTCGTGGGATCTGTACGAGTATCCTCTGTTACCGAGCACGACCAAGCACTCGTGGGCTATCAAGACTACGACTCAGCTCGAGAAGCCGCGATACGTCATCTTTGCTCTGCAGACCGATAGAAAGAATAACATGACGAAGTATTCAAATTACTTCGACAATTGTAAACTAACCAACGTGAAACTCTATCTGAATTCCGACTTTTTCCCGTACGATGATCTAAATCTAGATTGGGACAAACGCAAAAACGCCATTTTGTACGACATGTTCGTACGTTTCCGTACATCGTACTATCAGATCCTCCGCGAAAGAGGTGAAACGTTACTCAGGGCGGATTTCTTTAGGGATCGTTTCCCTATAGCGATCATCGACTGCTCTCGACAGAACGAATCGGTCAAGAGCGGCACCGTGGACGTGCGTTTGGACTTTGAACTCAAAGAGAACGCTCCCGCTAATACCGCCGCGTACTGTCTCATCATACACGATCGCGTGATCGAGTACAACCCGCTGACCAACGTTGTGCGCAAGATCGTCTAAGCGCGCGATATAAGAATCTACGATACGTCAACTGCGATCGCAGTCGACATGCACACGCCGACGTTCGTGGATCTGCAGGGTTTCGTCGTCAACGGGCGATTCGTCGTGAAGGAAGCTGCGGTGCTGAAACGCGGGACCGTGCTCGCGCACTACGTCTTTACGAATCCCATACCATGGAGATCATTGACAGGATCCGACAGATCTTGCGCTTCCTGGTTGATTGCCTGTCACCATGGATTGCGATGGACGGACGGGACGACTCCGTACAGCGATGCGAAACGCCTGATTACCAGTGCTGTATGCGAGGAGGAGGAGAATGCTGTGGTGTACGTCAAGGGACTTGAGAAACGAACGTGGCTGCGAGACTTACTTCTGGACGAACGCGCGCACATCGAGACCCTGGATGCGGTTTACGAAGACACTCTATCGTTAACCGATATGGATGCCGCTGATACTACGCGATGTGGACATCACGCTACGAATTGCGCCATGCAAAATGTATTCAAATTATATAAATGGTGGTTGCGAAGAAATTTTTTGAAATAAAAATTATGTAAACGTATTTACCTTGTATTTTTTTTAAATAAAAATTACGTAAACGTATTTACTTTGTATTTATTTTTTATTTCTCTCCCTTGTTTATGTACGTAGTATGTATGTATACACGCGTCGACAGTATATAGACGGTGCGTAACGCTCTTTTCGTTCATTCGTAATCTTACGAGCGTCACGGCATAGACCGATTGACCGACTGTCTGCATCGAAAGTGGGCCGAGCGCAATGGGGGGCAGCGGCTCGAAGGATACCGCTTTTAAACCGACGAAACACACCCATTATTGGGAGTCGAAGGACAAGCCGTCGAAGGACAAGCCATCGACGAACCAAAGATACTATTGGGAGTTGCCTACGTCGAAGGACAAGCCGTCGTCGCAAAACCAAAGATACCATGGTATAAAGACAAGGGTATGCTCGTTCTGTGTCAGACCACTGCGCATTCCCACCACTTTTTGTTCTTGCTTACGTCATACTCGTGTAAAGTAAATGTAGAGGAAGCTCGTGTGACGTAAGCAAGAACAAATTCCCTGGATTGTCCCTATCTGAAATATGCGCAAGAGCATACCCTTGTATTTATACCATGAAAGATACTATTGGGAGTTGCCTACTTCGAAGGACGAGCCATCAACGTCGTCAAAATACGTGCGTCCCCGAAGTCCTCCCCCTCCTCCGTCAACGTCTTCGTCGAAATACGTGCGTCCTCGAAGTCCTCCCCCTCCTCCACTATTACCACCGCGGAGGCCTCCTCGATAAAATAAACACTCCTTCCCCCACAGTCTTATGAACAAAAAACAATTCTTGGAATCGTTTGCGATAACAGCAGGTCTTATGAACAAAAACTATTCTTGGAATCGTTTGCGATAAATCTTATGAATAAAAACAATTCTTAGAATCGTTTGACCTGTCGCGACAGGTTCTCCCCCACTCTCTTCCCCCCCCTCTCTTCAATTACAGAAGGTACAATTTAATACGCCATTTACGCAGTCATTCTCACTACGCTCGTTTGCGCGAACGGATCATGTTCGGCTTCTACTCCGAGATGGGCAGCCCTCAGAAGGAATCGTAAGTTTTTTACTCTTTTATTTTTTTTAATTTTCCTACACCAAATATATATAATTACGTACGTACGCAGGACGAAGCGTCGCGCGGTGCGCATTCTGAGTCGACGTTACGACCTGACCGCAACGGGCTATAAGTTTCTCGAGATCGGTATCAACGTCGGTCCACCGAGCTACGTGGAGATCGTTCTGGGCGATCATCAAGGACGCGAACTGCTCATGTCCCTCGAAACGTGGAAGGGACTCTACGAGCAGCGACTGAACATCTACAAGTTGCTGCGTAACGAGCACAAGGACAATTTCGTAATCGTCGGGCCGATCACGGCAACGATCTACGCGCACACCGATCTTACGCTCGTACGACTCGAATCCCCGACCGTACACGTCAGTACGTCACGATGATCGAATCCACGCTACGCCGTATGTTCGATCTCGACGGTTGCATCGACGTTACCTTCGAGCGATTGTCTCGACTCGTCGATACTAGAGACCCTCTAATCAGAGTCGCGAAATAACGTCAATAAGGTTAGGTCGGCGACCATTTTTCAGCAAAAACCGGAAGTAGCGATTATGCGAGTGCGTACGCGCGCCCGTGTCGACCTATAAACAAATATATCCCCACTGTTACACATAGAATTTTTCTTTGTGTAGGGCACATTACGTGCACGCGTGAAGAAAAATATAATACTACTGCACGTACGAGCACCATCGCAATGAAAAGACTATGATTGTAATACATTAACACCTAATACATGTGAATCTAAATACAGTTATCAGAAAGAAATTACATTATTATATTTTTTAAATTAATATTGTAATTCATAAAATTATATTTTCTAAAATGACTGGTTGTTCTGCGCCAGACTGCAATAATTCTGTAAAAAAGGGTTATATTATGAAAGTCTTTCCTCGTAATCCTGAAAAAAGAGCAAAATGGGCAGCGAATGTAGGTCGACTTAAATTTGACGCCATGACTATTTCCGGTTTTTGCTGAAAAATGTCAGCACCAATCAAATTTGGAAACGTTATTTCGCGACTCTGATTAGAGGGTCTCTAGTCGATACCGTCGACGTCAAGTACACGCGCTTCGCCAACGTCGAAAACGCTATAAGCGAGAGCGACGTCTTCGACAAACGCCAGCTCGTCGATTGCGAGCTTCTCGCTTTGGTTTTTAACGCGCGATAAAAAAAGAAATAATGTATAACACTTACTATATTGTACTTAAAAAAAAATTATGAATAAAAAAAAATTTATACTCTGCAGATACTACTTTTTTTTCTTCCTAGCCTTTCTTTCCCCTACCGCGCGTTATAATATAATTATGAATATTGCATGATTAAATATAAGTATATATATTGCACGATTAAATTAAAATTATCCTACGAAACGATTCTCTTACTCGCGTCAGAGTATGCTTCACTACGCGAGATTATATTAGTAAAATAATCGTACGCGTTACATAGGCCATCGGCTACCTTACGGCGGCAGCGGAGTTGTTTTGATATACAATAGATAGGGCCGCCGCAAATACTTTTCATATAAACAATAGATAGGGCAGAGACATTTCTCTCGCCTATGCATCTCATCGTCAGTATTCTTTCGTCAGTATTCTTTCGTCTGTCGATCTACAGACCTGTTGATTGCATGCTGACATTGACCGTGCATAAGTTTTTTTTTCTTTTTTTTTCATTTAATTAGATGACTGTCAAGTGCTTTTCGAATTTAGAGATTTACTTTTTTTCTAACTAACTGAGTGCATGAGTGGTGTGCGTGCGTGCGTGTGTGTGCGTGTGTGTAACATAAAAAAAAACAACATGGGGAACCGCGAGCCCCCTCGCGAACGATTTATACGCGAATTTTTGGCAGACGAGAAGGTGATGGAGGTGGCGATGGACATTGCCATCGACATCGCCATGGAGGTAGCCATGGAGGTAGCTATGGAGATTGAGAGTCCTCCATGGCTACCTCCGACACCCCCTCCTTCACCTCCTCCTATGGAGGACGTCGTCATCGTTGACGACGGCGCTGAGAACGACGACGTCATCGTCGTTGACGACGGCGAGGACAACGACGACGTCGTCATCATCAGGAAAGTACGCGTCGTCAACGACGACGTTGTCGTGGACGACGACGACGAGGACGTCGTCGGTGAGGCTCCCCCAATTGACCGGATGCTCATGCACCACATGCAGGTGGGCGAAGTGGAGGATTTCCTCCTACTCCTCGGTTACCTGCATGAGGAGTGGCCATAGGTCCTCGGGGGAGGGTTGCCACTGCTACCACCGATGGTGAGTATAACATTTTTAATTAATTTAATCCTCGCACCCGATGATGACTTCATCGGCGGTGGTCTTTTGTAACGATATATCCCGAGGGGGAAGCGGGGGGGACGGCTCGGAGGCCTCGGCGGCGCGATAAGGCGGGCCCCAGAGCGAGGGGCCAGCGGCGCGGCGGCGCGACGGCCCGGCTCCCCCTCCCCCGTACCTTCCCCGCGCACCTCACCCCCAGTGATGCCATTTCTGTTACGGTTACGGCATCGCTCCTAGTGCCATCGATCGGCGGCCAGGCGCAACCAGTAGCACACTGTCCTTATCGCACAATGTTCTTTCCTTGTTTGCCCTTCGGCGCTGAGAGCGAACGAGACAGCAAAAGAGAATTGGAGAGAGAGAATTCTTCTCACTGACTCGCTGTGTTGTATATCCGTAGCCGGCGTAGGCTCAAGCGTCAAGCGACTGAAATGTTTTCTCGGGCGATCGGCGTGTATGAAGAGGCATTTTAGTCCTTTTAAAAATTATTACAATAATTTTATATATATAATATAATTACTGTAATAATTTTTAATATGTTTTTGATAATATTAAAAAAATAAATATATATATATATATATATAATAATTTTTTAAAGTATTTTTAATAATATTAAATTACATATAACACACACACACACATATATATATATATGTGTAATTTTACAATAACTTTTTATTTGCTTGTTAAAAAGCGAAAGTAATGCTGTGAACCGAAGGAATTATGAAATAAATATGCATAAAATTTTTTATTTATTATCCATAAAATATTTATTTATAATTATAATAATAATAGTTATTTATTATATTTTGGCCTTCTTCTTTGGGAGCATTCCTGTAAAGTTAATTTAATTTAAAAATGTGTTTAATAATTACACTTTAAATAAACTATACACAAATAAAAGTTGTGAATAAAATTATATTTTTCTTTAGTAACACTTTTTTATAGTTTATATAGCCTATTTATTGTAAAATTGTTTTTTACAGCATTAAGAAAAACCTAAATTTTTTGTGTAATTACATATTTAAATATTTAAAATGATTTATACAAAGTTTCATTATGATTGTTTATTCTGTAAATA